TCATCCTGCTTCTCTTTTTGGTTAATTTGCTCCACTCATTTACCACAGATTACAAAACTGAAATGAAGAAATTCATGCTGTTAGCTGCAAAGCATCCAATTCAGACTGAAGCAGTATTTGAATTGTGCAATTGCCTTGACAGAGTTGGGAAAAGATAGCTGTGAGCATATTATATTTGACACAACTTCAAGGGTGAGGCAAACCATCATTTTATTTAAAGTGCTAACTATCTGTGGTGTCTGAATGTAAACCCTATACAGCATGTAGATCTATTCAAGTGACGGTTTAAAGGTGAGTTATAATACATGTACACAAAGCCAGGCAATGTATGTAGCAATAACCTGTGACTCTCATCTAAGCCATTAGACAGAAGAATTTCATTGAAGGGAGACTGTGAAGAGAAACCTTCCTGAGCCAGGGCATGGAAACACGGTCACATCATCAGAATTCTGAGTTTAATTTTCTACCAACTTAGAACTGTAAAATTTAGAGCTTCTTGGTACCTCTGGGATAATCTAGTTCAATAAAATGTCAACCCCGAAATGGCACAATTTACAAATTTATGAAGCAGAATTAGAACTCGAATCTCAGTCCCGTGGTCTTACGCACACACTGTGCTTATTTCCGGTAGGACTGCCCCCTTTTTATTCCACTGGTTCTCAGAATAAGGCATCAGATATCTACATGTAGCATTTAATACAACTGCACCACAAGACTTGAGGTAAATATCTTCTTTATTAAATAAAGGGGGAGGGAAATGAAATAAACCTTATCTTAAAAGGCTGCTGATCATAATGAATGCCTCGCAAAAACAGATTAGAAGGACTTATACATAAATAAAACGTAGAGAAAATCGCTGACTTCTAACCAGCTAATAGGAAAAGGAGGTAAAGTTTGAAATGCTCTGATAAAAGTAGCCTGAACTATACCACAAGAAAGATTGATTCTTGGTAGTAACTAAAGGGAAATGACCTTGCATGCCAAATGAACCACTTCTGAACAGCTGAATTTTCCAAACTCTGGCAGATCAGTAGGGCAAAAGTAACGGCAGAGGCTGTTGAGAGTGGCAGAATTTCTGGTGCTTTAGATAATCCCAAACTGAGCGAGCTCGTGCAATTCCAGGTGGCTAAATGCCTCCCAGGGACAAATCACCGTGATATCTGCAAGAGACAGAAGAGAAACCTGTCAGCCAGCCTCACCCCAAGGAAAGCCTCCTCTGCTCATAAAGACCCTTCAGACAGAGGCTTCTCACCCTTCTCATGGTCCAGATTGGGCCATTACCTAGGACAGGCCTGTATTCCAGCAAGGATCATACCAGTTGCTTAATTGTCACCCCCTAGACACTGGTGACCCCCAGCTTTTGACTGGGGGCTCCCTGTGGGGTATAGCTCACTGATCACACAGAGTTTCCCCAAAACACAACCAATAAGGAGGGAACAGGATTGAAATTCTAGTAAGGCCGAGGGTTAAAATGAGAACTAGCAGTGTCTTCAATCCCCACAGTAGGGGCATCTGCAGTCACCTTTGTCCCTGACAATCCAGATGGATTCCCCGGGATTTCCCTCTCTCCCTTTGGTTCCTTTACATTTTGAAATGGCTTTATCTGATTGCTTATTGGGAAGTGTATCAAGGCATCATTTAATCCAGCCCCTTTATTTCAAACTATGTTATTAATATTATCCTAGCAGAGAAGCTGAATAACACCCAGAGGGATGAAACAACTAGCAAAATAATCACAGGTTGTAGAAACGGGAGTGAGAACCAGGTCAGAGACCTCAGGAATTCCCTCAGTCCAAACCGCTTTAGGTTATTCCAGATACACCAGCACTGCCAAGTGTATCTTCTAGCACCTCAAGCAAATGTGCTAGTCATCTATGTACTTGGCCAAAATACAGAAATAGTTAATCTAGGAGAATAGCCAATAAGTTTCATAAAGTGTCTAAAAAATGTAAGATCTCTGGGCAGCGCCTGTGGCTCAAAGAAGTAGGACGCTGGTCCCATATACTGGAGGTAGCGGGTTCAAACCCAGCCCCGGCCAAAAACTGCAAAAAATAAATAAATAAATAAATAAAATAAAATAAAATTGTAAGATCCCAGGAATGGCATTTGACTGCCCAAAGCAGATCCACTGAGGATTGCCTGGTAGGGATGTTGGTCACCATGAGAGGCACCATTTATCCAAAGTGTGTTGAATGAGGTGAGAACCTATGTCCACACAAAAGCCTGCACAAAGATATTTATAACAGCCTTATTCACTCACTATTGCCAAAACTCTGAAGCAACTGACCAAGATGCTCTTTGATAGGATAAACAAACTATGGCACAGCCCTACAGTGGAGTATTACTCAACAATAAAAAGAAATGAGCTATCAAGACAGAGCCTTGCAAAGACATGGGGAAACCTTAAACAAATATTGTTAAGTGAAAGAAGCCAGTCTGGAAAAAGCTTCATACTGTATGATTCTAACTATGTGACCTTCAAGAAAAGATACAACTATAGAGACAGTAAAAAGATAAGTGATTGCCAGGGATTTTAGGGGAGGGAAATACAGCCACGTGGAGCACAGGGCACTTTTTAGGGTAGTGAAAGTATTCTGTATGATGCTATAATAGTAGACAGATGGACTTAGGCGTTTATCAAAACTCTTAGAACTGTACAACCCAAAGAATGAAGCCTAACGTAAGCAATGGGCTTTAGTGAATACAATAATAATGTATCCATATTGGCTCATCAAACGTAACATAGGAACCACACTAAGGTTCATAAATAAAGGCAGCTGTGCACAAGGGGAGGCAGTGGTAGAGAGGATGTATAGGAACTTTCAGTACTTTTCTGCTTAATTTTCCTGTAAATCTTAAACTGCTCTAAGGAATAAAGTTTACTTTTAAAAAAACAGGATCCAGTGATTGCATTCATTATCTGATAAACAAAAACATGATAGCCAATTTAAAAAATTATGTTGCAATCATTCCAGGTGTAGGACCCTGTTCTGGGTACAAGAGAAGGAAAAGAGGAAGCTGGGAAGGAAGTGGTTTGGCTGGGAGAGTGGAGAGACCTCCAGGTCCCACCTTTATTTCCACTCGCTCCCTCTGTGGCTGCAGATTGTCAATTTCTCTATTGACAATCTTTCTTCTCAGATTACTCTCCTGAAAGAGGAAAGTTGGGCTAGACTAACTCTGAAGATTTTTCTACCATAAAAGTCCATAATTCACCAGAATATATGCCCTTAAAGATTGTTTAATAAAAGGATTCATTGAACTTTGAGCCTGCTCTGTACTCTGATTTCTTTTAGGGTTTTTGCATCTGGATACACATGTTCTTACTTAAGCAGGATAAATTAAATCCCCACATTTTTATGGCTTCAAAGGATCTGCATCTTAG